CTTTTTTGTTTCGTGGACTTTCTTCTTTTTTAATTGTGAAACAGGGATCACAAAACAATATCAAGGGTTATGACATCTTGCTTAGCTGATGAACATTAAAAAGACTTAATTCTTAATACGTTAAATGATAACAAAAAATCGTTAAAAAAAGACCTATTGGCGACTAGTTTTTGTAAATTGTTTTTAAATTGTTCAACATTAAAATGATCAGAAACAATTTTCAGTTGTAAAGTTCCATTTTTCCTCATTATTTTCAAAGACTAATAAGGCCATCACCTTTAGTACTTCAAGAGTAATAAATAAAATAATATGAAAATGTCACAACTTGAATCTTATTTTTCGTATTCCCAAAAAGTTGAAATTTTGTATTGGGACACTTTCATCGTAAAGGTGCAACCTGAAGGTCGGCAAACGTCAAGAAATTAGTTTTGATCGTTGACCACGAATTAATTATTATAATTTTCATCACTTGCTTGGAAATGAAAATATCGTGAGAAAACTTGCATTTCGGAGATAATTGCCGAAATCTTCAAAGATGCGAAAATGTCAAGTCTCCAACTAGTACTTACTATGCAAGTGTAGTGGACTAAACCTTGTGCAAAAAATAGTACTTTACTAACTTACATACGTCTATTGCTGAGCACATGTTTCTAACAACAGGTTTACGCTTAATTTGATTTATCTACACACGACAACTTTCTGTGTATGGGTTTATTACATGGTGAAATTAAAAATAATTAACATCGTTGAACCTATTAAGGTTCTTACTTCCTAATAATATCTACTCGTCTGAAGAAATATTTTAGAATAGTTTAAATTAGCAATAGTGTAAAACCATAAAAAATCTTACCTAAATAAACAAAGTATCAAGATTAGTCGCCTTGCGTACGCGATACGTAATCGTAGCGAAGTTGCAAGCCTTTGGCGGCAACTTTAGCGGCAAAAATATCACCTTTGATTTTCGCCGCCAGCATTTGATTTTATACATCGTGATGTGGAGTAGTGGTTAATGTTAGACTCGTTTCGGAGGTCGTGGATTCGATTCTCATAGTTGACTGGCTCTATGGTGTAGTTGTTAGAGCGTTAGGTTTTCTTTTTGGATGTCGTAGATTTGATTCCCATAGTCGACTGCCTCCATAGTCTAGTGGTTAGAGCGTTAGGCTTTCTTTTCGGAAGTCATGGATTTGATTCCCATAGTCGACTGCCTCTATGGTGTAGTGGTTAGAGTGTTAGGCTTTCGTTTCGGAGGTCGTGGATTTGATTCCTATAGTCGACTGCCTCCATGGTGTAGTGGTTAGTGTGTTAGGCTTTCGTTTCGAACGTCGTGGGTTTCCGATGGGTGACTGCCTCCTTAGTGCAGTATATCCGTAATCACCCAGTCAGTTCTTGCGTTGTGTGGAAGTGGTACGGGTGATGGTCAGAGTTATGTTTACAAACAAAGGCGTATGCAGTGCAACGTTGAAGGTCGTAGATACGTAGGATATAGGTATTCGTTTAATGTGTATGTAATGATGTAATTTGTATCATGAGAAGGGTCTTATTTTAAAAGGATGGTAATAATTTTAATTTCACCCTGTAGGTACATTATGAAAACGTTACCCTATATTCCAAAATTTGCGTTTCAGTCGGCGTCCTTTGATGTGCCGCCGCTGAGGCAGAGGCACTATTTTTTTATTTTTTGTAACAGTCTGTAATTGCCGTTTGCGTTGTGAGGACTAAATAGGTGTCATCGTTTTGTTTGTGTCTCGTTTTTGTGTTTATTTAAACTATGTCACGCTTAAGCAATAGTGATTACTATGAGATGATGTTGTGCGTAGGCGCAGCCGATGGGAGCTTGCGCCAGCCTCGCCAAATTTATTGGGCAAAGTTTATTGATGGCGTCCCAGAAAATCGACGTCGACCATTTCCTACTCTGGAATGCTTCAGGAAGATGGTTATGAGACTTCATAATAGTGGATCGTTCCGTGGTTCCAGTTCTGAAGGCCGGCCGAGTTCACGAGACCCAGAATTCGAGGCAGATGTTTTGGAACATTTTCTCGGCAATCCAAAGACAAGTACTCGTCGTGCTGCAGCAGCCTTTGGTGGTGTGAACCATATGAGTGTGTGGCGTGTGCTACGGGATGATGGCCAGCACCCATACCATTTTCAAAGAACGCAGGAGCTGTTACAAGCGGACTATGATCCACGTTCCGTTACGTTTACGACCGCGACCAGATTGGGAGGTCTCCCGACTTCGCTTCGTCGGTACTGTGGACAGACGAGGCGTCATTTACGCGTGCGGGCATTATCAATATGCATAATGAACATTTTTGGACTCATTTGAATCCCCGCGTATCAAGGGAATCAAATTTTTAACACCATTGGCGGATTAACGTGTGGGCTGGTATAATAGGTTGTGCCGTCATCGGTCCAGTGTTTTTGCCGGCAAGTCTGAATGGGGCCAATTATTTAAGATTCCTAACAGAAGACTTGGATGACGTTCGAGTCTCACGATGGACCACCACACATTTTGCTCGAAATGTACGTTCCCATCTGAACGACCGTTTCCCGCAGTGGATTGGACGGGGAGGTCCTGCACCCTGGCCAGCGCGGTCCCCAGACTTGACACCGCTCGATTTTTTTTATGGGATCATATAAAAAATATTGTTTATGCGGAGTCCTGTGAAAGCGCAGAAGAAATGAGGCAGCGGATCGAAATGGCATTTAGTCAAATCACTCGGCAGATGCTTCAAAGAGTAGAGCAGTCTCTGTACCGACACACGGACATATGCATATTGCATGGAGGTCGGCATTTTGAACCTTACCTGTAAATGTGTGAAATGTGCCAGCAGTGCGTGCAGTGATTGTGCTTATTATTCAAAATTATCGTAAACAAGTCAATATTTCGTACATTGTACAACAGTGAATTACAATTCGTAGGAAATTCATTAAAACGTGTATGAATTGAACAGTAGGTAAGTACCAATTAAAAAAGTATCCACCATTGTAAAATTGTCGTAAATAAATGTATTAATACTAAACTATGTAGAATGTGTATACGATGAAGGCGTGCGTAACTACGGGCGTAATAAGTAAATAAATATTCTTTAAATTGTATGTAAATAAATACGTACGCGTACCTAGGTATGGCATAAAATAATATTGTTACAAATGATTTGATTTTTCTAGGTATTTAAAGATTTTGTTACTTAATATTAACGTATTATCAACATATTCAAATCATGTTTTTACAATGGCATTTCAATTGTAGTCAGCTGTTCGCCCCGCTTGCGGCCGCACAGGTTTCATGAATGAATTTGTGAAGTCGTAGTAACGTAACTAGCAATAGAGTTGTGACGCAGTGGTTGTTTCGGACAATCACTATTTATACAATCATAATTAAACTTATATCAACATTAAAAGTCACTTATTTTTATTTGATATTTTGCACACAGGGTCTAAATCAAGTGTACATTTGGGTCCTTTAATATGACCACACCTTTCTGTTACACCCGGTATAAGGATGGCCTTTGACTATTTTTTTCCATCTTATGCATTGAACACATTGACTTATGATTGAACATAATATTTTAACTTTCATTGCTGCTGTCAGTTCATGAACGTCTTTTATTAGCACTCCCGCCGCCTAAAATACTATTTTTTTAAAAACCCAAACCTTATATTTTCTATGTTTAAGAATAGAACCACAATTGTGATTCTATTCTTAAACATAAAAAATATTAAAATCTTTCATGCGGATCTCGAATATTAAATGAAGACTTGGCTCAAAGGACTTGAATCCAAGCCAAAATTTTTTATTACAAAACCGAGAATCATAGACAAACTTTACCTTTTACCAACAATTTACCAACTGTCTCTCAAATATAGAGTGTATGGTCTATGGTCACTCATTTGAATTTCGAACGTTTTTCTTTGGTTTTGACTAATGGATCATAAATCAGAAATTAGTAAGGTATTGGATAAGCATTGTTTATGAAGTAAGTACACTTCGAAAGCTATTATTTGTTGCTAAGTTTTGAATTGAATAAATTCAAAAAGAATTTAGCACTACTTTTAATAATAAGAACAAAAATGACGAACCGGAAAAAGCAACAGAAGATCACGACATTATTCCGGAAAGGTATGTTGTAAAAACCTAGGTACATATTAAATTATATGTTTATCTTTAGGACACATATATTCATTATTATGTCTTATTTGTTTTTAAATATTATTTAAGTAACGCACGTCGCATTGAATTTAGACACCACAACAGCATTCCTGAAACCTTACACTTTCCTGGGCGTATACCACAGACATATCTAGATATATGTCTGTGGCTAATACAGATTCTCACCTGATGAAAGTCAAATACAATAAAAATATATATAATGATTTTCTGTATCCTAATATATAGACAACATAATCGAAGCAACCACCTACATGCATTTGTTTAGCAGCAACGGAATTGCCGGAAGAATGCGATGGACTACGGGAGGAAATTCAGCATTTGGAACAACAATTAAGGGAGAAGCAGAATGAGTTGTTTCAGTTACAAAGGAACAGTTACCGACACAAACAGTCGCCACCTAAGAAGAGAACAGGCACTTTTGTAAGACCTCAGGTGGGATTTGATTTTTATAAAGTTATAATATGTGACATGATTATTTTGGTGGGGTCTATAAGTTGAAGAGTTGCTAGTAATGGTAGTGACGGACAGCAAAATACGAACGTTTTCTTAGTATGGATATACCCAATTTGTCATTTTTCTTTTATATTTGTCCATTTTTTTACAATTTTTTCTCTAAACATTCCAAAATGTATTTATTTTATTTATTTATTTATTTATTTATTTGTATGTTATCAAATGTTTATTTTTTAATGGCTAAACTATTTAAATACGTAAGTACCTATATGAACACAACTACAATTTTATTTTTTGAGACAATTTGGAGCAAATAATACAAAGTAATAATTTGTTGTCAATGTTTAGAACAATTTCAATAAATATTACTCGTATACAAATATGATCAATTCCTAGAAGTCCTGGGACTTGTAGAAGGGAATGTCCTTATTATTCCTTTGTGTAACTAAATTAACTCCCGCAATACCGATCACTGATTACCACCAAAGCCTATGTTTTTCTCTATTCTATGGGACAGGGCTAGTTACAATCCCTGCTAAGAAACAAAACTGCTTTTTGAACTGAAAAGGCTTAAACATTGCTGATATTACATATAGTGCTTTTGCAGAAGACTGGTATGATGTTTACGTTTTTTTTAATATCAAGTGATGGGATGAATGACAATGTTTTAAATCGCAAAGATCTGAGGAGCACTGCCACTGCGCCTGTAATTTCACCAGCACCCTTAACAGAAACACAGTAACGCTGACATTACTTTTGGCGGCAGAAATAAGTAAGGTGGCAGTGCTACCCTGTACAAACACGTTCGTTAGGAGCTCTACTGCTACTGTTACCTAATGAAATATATTGCATACATAAAAATTCAAGAAGTAAAATATTGTTTATTTTTAAGAAAAGATGAATAAAAATACATTAATTTGTTTACCACAGAAAATCGTCTTAAACAACTCTATAGAAACATTAAAGAAGGACCTAGAGCTGATGTCGGTGCTAACTGGCACAGAAGTGCAGTCATACGTAGTAGATGACCACTGCTGTATTGTTTTTCACATGCAGCATGACACTGAACATGAGCTTAAGCATGGATTGAGGATTGATACTAAGTCTGGTAAGCGTTTCTGAATTTTATTTTAACTTTTTTATGACTGGCCTAAGATAAACTAAAGCAATGTATAATATTGACTTATGTATTCATGAATGTATTCATTTCAGAAAATTGTCATTTTTCAATTTATTTTCAAAATTCACAGCCAAGCTGCACATGATTGTTTTTTTTTTACCCCAGGTATGATTTCCACAACAGCATTCTGTTGAAGAGACTCATTTAAAAATAAATACCTTGCTGCTACCGAAACATTGACGTTATTGAACAATATTAACTGACAACATTAATCGAAAGTGACACTGGGCCAAGCCTAGAGGCCGCCATTAAGGAAATAGAATAGAATAGTACACACAATTTGTGCCCAGTGCAGGCAACTTTACTATTACAGTAAAAGTAAACTATTACACTAAAAGTAAATTTAGCTTATGTGGGTGCTTCTCAGTGGTATTGAATATCGCCACACTTTTATCACCAGAGATCAGAATATGTTTATGAACTTTGAGGTAGTAGCTCAGACACAGAGTGGATAATACTTCCCTCTTGAATGATAGTATTATATCTTGTTCTATATTTTTGATGTGTAACTAGTTATTACTTTAGCTTCTCCAACACAGTCCTGAAGTTAACTGCAGGACCATATTGGAGAAGAGTTGCTCTTGATAGAGCACACTGGAAAGATCTGAAGGAGGCCTATGTCTAGATGCACACTGAGTTCAGAGAGATACAATATAAAAATTTTAAAATGCAACTTAAATTGTAATTTAACAACAAAATTAAGAAAATATAATTATTTTCATTTGATTTTTGCCCTTTATCTTTTATTCATTCCAGAATTTCAGAAGGTGGTATTATCTAATCTGTGTGTGTTAAATTTAAACTTATTACTAGTTCTTCATTAAGGGGGCCTACCATAATTATTGCTTGGTGTACACTCCGCGTTTTGGCTTGGTGCAGCAAGAGCACAGCTAGCTATGAGTGAAGACTGAAAATCAGCAATGCAGAAGTCTTTAACCTTTTTGTCCACATTACTCAATTGTTTTTTTATTAGTTTTTAAATATTGTGTTTCTTATGTTTTGGCAGAAATATATTACTTTTTATTTAATTGTTTTATTTATTACTTTAAGTTTAGGTAAATATACTCTGCCCATTTTGATCATATGTGGCAAAAATGTAGTCATAGTTTAATAGGTAAATTCATTAAACATTTTTTTTGTTACAGGTGTGAACAAAGTGTCAGCATGTTCCCTGCCCCTTGGTTTCAACTTAACTGCTGTACTGGATGACTATGAGAACATGATGTTGCCGGAAAGTCTTAACGCCATCAGAAAAGCTCTTGTGGCTTATTACAATAGATTGGAACAGTTTCAAAATTTAAAAGTAAGTTGACAGTTTTTGTTTCTTTTTCAATCCTAAGAGCGATGCCATACGATGCGTTCCGTCGGCGTTATGACGAATGAGCGGTGACGTTGCGTTGTATTATAAATAAGGGTGCATTCCCATTATGTCGTGACGATAGATAGTTGTGGAGTTTAAAGTGTTGTGGTTTGTATATTTAAATGAAGTTGTTCACATATAGTGCAACACGATTAACTGTCGTTCACGTCTTTTTAACGTTACGACGACAGAGGAGGCGAAGCGGCGTTACGTTGCGACACTGCATTGCTCCTGTGGCACTCGCTGCTTTAAAATCAGAACGTGTAGCATCGCTCTAAGGAAATAATTGTTTGGGCAGTTGAAGACATGTTATGTCGTTTTATGACTTTCCAAACCATTCCAATGAAAGTCTTCAACTTACACTGCGGCCCTTTGGTCGTGAACCTTTGTAGGATACTATTGCATGTAAGTTTTCCTAAGTATTAAACTTGCTGCCATACATGCGGTACAGCGGGAAAAGCGGTCCGGGGGGGACCTGCGGAAAGCGAATGCGTACTGGAGCGTTCTACACAGCACTCCCAAGCGCAGTTCGCGGAGGAATAGCGGCCCAAAGGTGGCCAGTGCAGTGTGTCACCAAAAGCGGCCACGTTTCATTTTCACCACTGCTTTTAGAGAATAAACCACATCGCTGTCGGATTATGATCAAGAATATTTTCTGCTTTTATTAGCGTTACGGAAGCAACACAAAAAGAAATCTGTCGAACTCATATTGGTACATAATAAAAACACACTCAAGAGTTGTAAAAAAATACAACGTCAAAGCCCGCTAAAGCCCCGCTCCTGGACCGCGCCCGCTGTTACTGCTCTGTGAGGCCGGTTGCACAGAACTCTTCGATACTTTAACCGAATCGTTCGATTGGATATCGTTCTCGAATCGAAGGGCGCTTTTCAATCTATTCAGAACATTCCGAGTTAAACGTCCGATTCGGATTCGGATACAATATCGTTATCTAACAGCGTATACTTACATACTCGGTGGAATAGATTATAAGAAAAATGAAAATCCTTTTGTATAATTTTTTAAGACTGAAGGCCTAAAATTTAGGAATGCGTTAGTCTTGCATTAAAATAAATTAATAAAATTGAATAAAATCCAGACATCATAAAAAAATTCCGTATTACATTTTTGCTTTGTAAACAATAGAACGTTTGGTAACTTTCATTCGATAAGTTTTTTGTATAACGTCTGCTGCCTTTGTCGGTCGAGAAGTTCGAGTTCTTACGGGTGTGACGTCATTTCGGATCGGTTTCACGTTCACGAGACAGTTTGACGTTCGATTCGGGTGTTGTGAATAAAAATGAAAAGAAATCGGTCCGCCTGTTTGTCATAGCGCACCCCCACCTACCCACCCACACATAAGCCCCGCACCGCGCCACTCTAATAAGAACTCGTAAATTACAAAAATTCACGCGTCCGGAACGCATCCGCGGCCGCCTCGTGTGGCCAGAGCATAAAACATTAAAAACTTCACAATATAAACAGTCTTCAAGGTAATAATGATTTTTATAATTTTTAGTGAACGCAAATTTCTTTCAGAAATTACTAAACGTAGAAGCAGAATTATTTAAGACCCTGGATGGTTCTCACATGGAGATATCGTTCTACGCGCAGGCTGAGGACGACTCGGAAGATGATCCGTTCAGTGTCGTGCTGATGCTCACTTACCGCGTGTACGATATTCGACCAAAGACATATAATATTAAGGAGATAGGTAAGATACCATTGAAATGGAAGATGAAACGTGTTTGTTTATTTACGTTTACCAAGAATTGCTTCAATATTCTCAAATATATAGGGAGAAGATATTTTGTTTTATGCACATGAAAGATTACAACTAGCTTACGAGTTCAGATATTGATATTCATTATTTTTTCAAAGGAGACCCTTTGATTTTCCGAAAATCGATGGTTGCCAAAGTAGTCTTACTGACCACTAGTGGTCTACCCCAACCTCCAAGAGGTCCTCTACAGCAAAAAGAACGGATGCGTCGTCAGAACTTTCCATGAATAATGGAATACAACACGTGTTCTTATTATATCCATCGTTCAATCGTCGAAGGGCTTCGCCAATCGGCGTAAGGTACAACAGCACATGAAGGTATAAACATTTGTTCGAATATCGCCTCCAGGGCAACGGGGCAAGATCCGTTAATGTGTAGCTTGATGTGCGGCCGCCTGTACTAGCCGATTAATGCCCAGGATGCGCCAGATGTACAGGAAATTAATGGCACGTCGTGCGGGGAGGCTCCTTTTGTGCACCATTACAGACAAGACGTAACAAACAAGATTATAGTTTTAGACGAATCTATAAAACTTAAAAAGTTTATATTTTAAAATAAAATTTGTCACTAAATGACAAAAACATATTTGATGTTCATGGGTTTGTAGATAAGATCCGTATTAGAAAGGTAGGATCTACAGTTACGGAAAAAATGGCACGAGACTTATGAGACATAAAAGTTTGGGAGCACCTAGACAATATTAATTTCGGGTCTTGTAAACCCTAGCCATGTTTACGTAATTTTAAAACGCTATTCGCTTTTATCGTGAACATTAGTTAACATAATAATAGGGGTTAAAGTATGAAATTGCCGATTTGTACTG